CTTCACAATGGGCTCTCTGTGCTCTGCCCACCACGGTATTGAAACCCGATTTATAGTTTCAAAAGTATGTAGACATACCGCTGTGCTACTGAGTCTTGCAGTTGATGATAAAGTGATAAATACATTCTTCAAAGAATGAACTTTTTTGATATATAAATGCTAAAAATTAGTACTAACTTTATCAAATTTACTAATGAATTCCCGCTCTAGAGAGAGAGAGAAGAAAAAAGAGGAAAACGTTTTCAGAAATTGTTTTGTAAATTGGACATGGAAGAAGTTTATTTTTGCTGAAACAGACAATATGAAACAATGGGAATAACATAGTATACGGTACTTTATAAGTATAAAACTATAGCGATCCCTAACAATCAAACGTGAAATATCGCTACAATAACACGTACGATGTTGCCTTAATAAGATAGGCGAACAGCCTTATTGCTATTGTACAGTTAAACGTATTTTGAAAACAACACTGTGAGATGACATCTGGTGTCATTTACTGTTCACAAACGTATCGATCTAGCATTTAAGCATGGTCCCTTAATGATGTTTATTGACATTTTCCGCAAAGAAAAAAGATTAACCTAAAAATGTATGATTTGATTATTAAAGTTTTGTCGACTCACGTGTTTTCTACGTGTTATTGTTAAAACGCCTCCTAATGGAAGCTTTTAAAAATAACGTTTTTGCTAAGATAAGATGGTTCATGCTACCTAACTTGGATAGCAGAGTTATTTGTTATAGTTAAGAGTTTGGTGACCTGCATAATAGAACTTAATTATGATATATATGTTCTATTTTTCCATAAAACTAGAAATTGATTAGGATATTAAATTTTGTTAGCAAGTCATACCGGTATATTCGGTTTTAGTTTTATTAAACTAAAATTTGATTAAGCCATTCAGTTCCTTATTACAGAATTCGAATTTAATAACGTTTATTATAATTTCCTATTAGATAAAGTTGCAAGAAGTCAAATAAAATTATTTAATTTCTCTTTGTATAGTTGGAGCCAGTCTAGAATGGTCAGTCCGTTTTTTTTTTAGGAAAATGAAACTATCAGCTTACTGTTATATCGATTCCTTGTTATGCTGAAACCTGATGTTCTCTCGTTAAACAAGTACCAGACAAGAATATTCAGTTTCTATTGTTATGTAAGTTTTATTCTGTGATATTCAGTTTTTATTGTTAACTAACTACAAGGCTAGAATGTTAAGTTTCTATTGTTTTGTAAGGGTTATACTGTGACATTCAGTTTCTATTAATGAACAATTACCATAATGAAATATTCAGTTTCTATTTTCAAAACTCATACTTAACTGAGATATTAAGCTTTTATAGATTAAGCAAGTGCTATACTGGGGTATTTAGTTTTTATTGTTGAACCAATACTTAACTGGAGATTACAGTTTATATTGTTAGATCAATATTTAATTGGAATATTCAGCTTCTATTGTTAGATCAATACTTAATTGGAATATTCAGTTTCTATTGTTAAGCCAATACTTAACTGGAGTATTCAGTTTCTATTGTTAAACCAATACTTAACTGGAGTATTCAGTTTTTATTGTTAGATCAGCGCTTAAGAGGAATATTCAGCTTCTACTGTTAGATCTATACTTAACTGTAATATTTAGTGTCTATTGTTAAACCAATTCTTAACTAACTGGAGTACTAATTTTCTATTTTCAAGGATATATTTAACCGAGATACTAATTCTGTTTTCGTCAAGCAAGTACTTAATTGTCACGTTCACTTTCTATTTACCACAGAATTACGTAGACAGGCTTTTCAGCATCTTTTACTGTACAGATAGAATTTCATTCAATATGTATATAATTAAGATAGGCTGGAATAATTAATTGTTTTATAAACAGGAAATCTGAATTGTTATTGAGCGATAAAGAACTTAAGTAGAGTAGTCAATTGTTTTTATCATTTTATCGTTATACTTGACTCAGATATTCGGTGTTGTTTATACTTGACTAAGATATTCTGTGTTGTTTATACTTGACTCAGATATTCTGATTTGTTTATACTTGACTCAGATATTCTGATTTGTTTATACTTGACTCAGATATTCGGTGTTGTTTATACTTGACTCAGATATTCGGTGTTGTTTATACTTGACTCAAATATTCGGTGTTGTTTATACTTGACTCAAATATTCGGTGTTGTTTATACTTGACTCAAATATTCGGTGTTGTTGTTTTTTAAATTAAAATTGTTTATGCACCACCTTGTTTTTGAGTCTATGATTTTGTTAATTATAAAGTCTTAGTAACATATGAGTCATACAAAAAAAAAATGTGACTCGAAATATCGCCAATATTACAATCAATTCCATCAATTATTTCTTGATTTTATCCAACTTGTTTGATCAGTTCTTTATACTGAGTGCTATAACTGGTAAAATTACACAATATAACGCAAAACGTACACTCCACTGGAGCATAGATAGATTGAAGTAAGAATGTGACTGGGATATTCTATTTCTGTCATTGGTTTTGTTTGTTGAGCACTATAATTGCAGTCAAACATTCTGTTTTTTAATCAATAACAAACACCCATTATACAGTGACTAAATTAAATTTATCCGTCGAATATGTAAAGGTATTACATGAAAAACTATCCACATCTTTCAGTATATTAGTTTCCAAAAGTAGATACTTTTTCCCCAAGAAAATACTAAGTTCGTGTTTGTGTTTTTATGTAAGATATAATTTATTCAGCATTTCTCTTTGCAATAGAGCATCGTCTTGATATATCTTTCAAGAGAACTAAGGACAGTTATGTTATAACAACTGTAAATACATTACAAGTTAATTTATCGCGTGTTTCTTTGCCTTCTTTTTCCTTACTGAATAGGTTAATAAAAGCAGTTTGGGATAAACACATGAACTGATGCAGATAGGGTAAACCACAACTATGTAAAAGAGACTCGCCTGGAGAGGTAGCATCTGTTCCACAAAAAAACATAGCTTTTATATACAACGCTTCTTTATTTAGAAATGCAGGATGGTCTTGTGGCAGAGCTGTGGATTTCGAAACTGGTTAGCCGAATTCGAATCCTTGCGATATCACAGAATATTCCTAACAGTTTAAGCTGCGAATGAATTTTAAGGGTAACAGTTAATTCCTTAGCTTGGGTGGTGGGTGGTATGGTGCTGCTAACTGCCTTCCTTCTCTCTAGTCAATTGTTGAAAATTAGGGACAACAGAAAATAGCATAAGTAGCTTTATAGCTTTGCCACGAATACAAAATATAACAAGTATAATAAAAAAATTAACGTTTATAAAGACAAGTAACGACCGATATATACGTAACCTAGCTAGCTATAGTAATATAGAAAGTTTTAATGCTACAAAAAGTATTGAAACAAGAAAGTCGAAACTACACAAACTGAGTTACTTAAAATTAAAAAAATGACCCCAACTTTGGCAAATCACTGTAATTATGTTAGTCTGAGCCAAATTACCTTTTCAGTACAAGAAAGGAATCACTGGGACTCCAGATGGACGAGTTCTGTGAAAGAATTAGAGCGATAAGGTTCGTCATTTTTATTCTGTACTCTTGTCTGGAAAGTCACTTACTTGAACGAAATTTCGTTGAAATAGTAAAATTTTGATTCATTTCATAAACATGTATATAGCAATACAGACAGATTTGTAAATACAATAAGCTTTAGTTTTGCTCAACCAATACTGTGAAATAGTCATTGTTAATATTCAGACATTTTAAAGGTGGTTTTAAACGGGCGATTTTTATGGTCGCCATTTTGTTTCATCACGATCACTAATTAATGATACTAATTATTATTGCCATGTGTAACCATGTATAAAGACCAAACTTGAATAGATTATTTATATTGGAACATATTTTCTCGTTATATGAATTACAACTCAAAGCTATTAATGCATATTTAATGTCATTATCAACTGTCAATAATATAAGAGATGATAACAACAGACATCAAACATTACTCTGTTTTGCAAATTGCCCTTATTAGGTTGCTAATTAATTAACCATCTCTGCATTTACCCTGTTTTAAAGACATTTTGCGGCATTTCATGTTGTTTTCTTGTAAAACTGTATGTACAAAATTATGTCGAGAGCATCATACAGACCTTAAATATATATATTTCATAAACTCTTATATCAAAATTACGTTTCCGGGTGAAAAGCTTAGCACCAGTGGAAATATAGTATTTAATATTATATCATCAGCGCGCAGCAAACTGTAGTATAAGTGTTCAAAATACTCTCCACATTAATCTTAGTGAGTGTCGTATGTGTTCAAGTCCGAAACAAAAATCATAAATAATATTCAACGTTAAAATTGATAAACAATTAAAAACACCTTATTTAGGCCTATCTATGGCCTTTAAAAAAGTTGACGACTCTACATGTTACGGCGTTGAAACAGAAAAATGCTCGTATAAAGTTGTTAGCTGACTTTTGATAAAGCTACAGCGAGTATTCATGCCCGTTTCGATATATTAGACAAAACTAAAAGCAGAGAAATTAAAAAAAAGGTCTCATGTATGAAAACAATGATAAAAACAAGAACAATTTTGGGAAATAGAAAATACTTAGAAAAATATTACATTTGTTTTATGGAGAGTATATATATAACTGCTTTAAAACTGGAAATCCAACTGTAACTCTTATGTTTGACTTAATCATGAGGCAGGAGGAGTGAATTGTGGTGGATTGTATTTAAACGTTAGATATTTTTCTGTTACGATTCTTAATTGGTTTAGCTGTTCAGAAGTCAGAAATTCAAAAATGCAGGGGAGGGGGGAATTATAAGTAACATAGAGATTTTTTTATTTTTTCATTTTCAAAAAACATTTTGGCACGTGTGTAATGTTCAATCTTAAAAAGTCAAATATTTTGAAAAAACAACGATTATTTTATACACAATTCTAAAAACATGAGATTGTTTCCAGTCTCCAAATTAATAAAGTTTGTTTGTAGTTAAGCACAAAGCTACACAATGGGGCTATTTGTGCTCTGCCCACAACGGGTATCGAAACCCGGATTCTAGCGTTGTAAGTCCGCAGACATACCGCTGTGCCACTGGGGGGACAAATTACTAAATTACTATAACTTACTGTACAGGATAAAACATGGTTAAAAAACCCGATGAAACTGGAAAACAATCTCATACACTCTACATGTTTCGACGTATACTATTGCGTCATCCTCAGGAGTGTAATATTTTAAATTGTTGAATAAGGATGATGGACCTGATGGAAATGTTGTCAGCAGATGGTGTGAAATTCTTTAATATGTAAATTGGTGTTTTGATAATTGTATAAATATGTGTTATTTTTTGCAAAACATGACACAAAGCTACACAATGGACTATCTGTGCTCTGCTCACCACTGGTATCGAAACCCGGATTTTAGCGTGGTAAGTCCGCAGACATACCGCTGTGCCACTTGGGGCTTTCTGTTCGCAAAATGTAATTTAAGAACTGGAAGATAAAGTGCTGGATTCCAAATTTGAAAACAACAACTTTCTGTCACTTGTTCCTAAAACTGAGGCTGACGTTTTCTTTTGTTTTTTGTTTACAAGTAAAGCATTTTTCACCCCTTCCGATGTAATGCAATATTTCATATATACTCTATATTGTAATTTCTAATACTTCGCTCTCTTCTTGATGTACCTTTTGAATACTATTTCATCCCGCATCATCAGTTAGTCTGCACAGTGCTGTCATGTTGGGGGGGGGGGAATGAAAACGTAAACACGGTAATGTGCAAGTGTACGCTTACAATCGTAATCACTTTCCTGTCCGTTTGTACAAATCAGTTTGTAAAACATTGGGTAATCCATCCGATGGGATGTGATGAATCGTACTTTCATCAATACCTCATTTCACATACTTTCAACAATATATCAGAAACAGAAGGGCTGTAGTTTGTTTAAAACTATATGTAAGCTATTTAAAAAAAAGTAAAATCCTGTTTGATACGTAATTGATATACTCATGAGAACAAACCCAAAATATTTTTAATTGCTCACTAGTATAACAAGATAAATGAGTAAACTGAATTCCATTAAGTATATATTTATTTTTTCCAAACCCTTTTTGAATTAGGCCAAATGTTACCCTCTGTTGTTTGCGTTATTCAACAGACTCTA